TTCCAACTTCTGTTCTTTTTCGTCGTCGCTGTCTGAAGATAATTCTGCGATTTTTCTTTTCTTTTCTTCAATATCTTCTGCTATTTCCAAAACTTCTTCAGTGAAAAACATACTTCCGTACATATCCATGAAACGGTTAAACAATTCTTTACCGATCAGTACGTGTTTCGAACGGCCTGAGGTGTAGAGCGGCTGGTTCGTAATGCCGTCGAACTTCCGTCGACTGCTATCTTCAATTGCGCGAGTATGGTGCGTGCTCTCCTATCCAGGAGCCTCGTCAGATGGTGTGAGGAAAGTGCGAGAGTGCTCTGGTGCTTAAGAGCACGGCGTGGCCCAGTAAAGGACACGCTTGGAATTGCCCGGCGCCTCCGCGCTGGGAATGAATCCCCCTTTCGGAGGATGATAGTCACTCAGAGGAAGGAGACACTAGTCCGTCTCCTTTCGTGAGTGTCGGATCTGGTCCGAGGAGATTCAGCTCTGGTTGGCGAGGAAACTACAGAGGCTGAATCCGTAATGATAGTCAGACGAGCTGAAGTCGCCTTTCTCAGTCGCGCACGCGGCACCTGCGATGTTTTGTAAGAACTCCGCAAGTGCAACACTGAATCGCGGACGCGGCGGTGTTGAAGCCTGACGGTGACGTGCAGGTCACGGTAAACGTGCGTGAAAAGTACCGCGTGCGTGACGAATGCTAAGTCTCGTCGCGGTGAGAAGCGAAGAGTCCTCGCGGGTTGAGTCGCGGATGCGACCGTCGGTTAAGTCGGAAGTAGACTTGTACCGAATCTGGTTTGCGTAAGCGCTGCGATCCTGGCAGCGTAGCAATAGCGAGCTCGGCTCGCGTGAGCTGCGTCCCTGACAGCGACTAAGTCTGATTCGGACGTGAAGGCGAGTTTGGCTCGCGTGTATATGCTGCGTCCCTGGCAGCGGAGCAATAGCGAGCTTGGCTCGCGAGAGAGCTGCGGCCCTGGCCGCAGAGATCCTGATTACAACTACGACTCGCGCGGAGTTGTGAGCTCAAGTGTACTAAGTTCTGTTGGCGCTAAGACCCCGTATGTAATACGGAAATGCCGCGAAGCGAGACGTCCACCGCGGTGGAGGCGTCCAGGTAATCCGACGAGATCGCGCGAAGCCTTCTCTCAATTCTCGATCGTATTGAGAAGGTGGAGATCTGTGGAGTTACCATACACTGCGTACCACAGATACCAATGTGTCCTCGGACACTCTAGAGGCGTTAGCTCAACGTGCAAACGTACTCTAAGGAGCTGCGGAGAGTTGTGTAGAATTTGCCGAACTCTAACCACAAATGCCAACGTGTCTACGACACTCTTAAGGCAGTGAAGATCGATGCCGATATGCGAGTATACCTCTGATGAGGCAAATGCCCAACGTGCTGGCGCACTCAAAAAGGCAATATGTAGTTAGCTGGAGCGTAAAAGAATACCTGATGTGCAGTCAAGCTGGCATCAGGCAAGAGGCGTAAAAAGCCTTGAGTGGTCTCGCGCGGCGTCTTATATAGGCGCCTAAACGAAACTTAACCGCGAGAAGCGGCTCCGGCCGACGCGCTCGCCGCGTCGCGGCGACGGCGCGCACTGGCGGCGGTAGGCCGGCGACCGCGAGTAGAGCGGCGCCTGGAGCTCGGCCGCCCGCCGTACTCGTTCCGCGTGGACATGCTATGGCCGTACGGAACAGTACGGATTTGTTAATTTTGGCGCTCACCGTGTCAGTAATACAATTTGCTTCGATTAACAGCTTTTTGCAGTAATAGAATCCATCAGCCAATTCCTGTTGTTCTTCCTTGCTGGCTGGATGGCACAAATAAGTTTCATGATCACTTATTGTTTCTTCCAAGTCTGACACGTGAGCACTACTTTGCGCGGCTTCCATTGTAAAAGATTTCGTTATAGAATTGAAATTGACGAAAGTGAAACGTAGAGTAAACTGCAAGAAATGAACGGCTATACAGCAGCACGCACAAAACCAGTCTGTCCCAGTATGTTCTTGCCACAAAAGATTCGCATATAAGGGAGAGAAGGCACAAGTAGAGGGGGAAAATACAAAGGACAATACGTATACCTGGAAAACGGTTGATCTTTAGGTTTAAACGGTTGTCTCTATCATTAGTTTCAAGATAGAATCTGACCTTATATTTTATTTGTTGTCACTTTTTAAAAACAAAAAGTTAATAGTCGAGGTCACAATATAAAATGTTTGAAATTTTATTTGTAAACATGAATTATTTCTCGAAATAGTTTCCTAAATTTTTAATATATTTTTAAACGAATTTAATTATTTCTTTTATTTTAGGTAATAAACAATGCTAATAATTAATTATTAATAAGTAAAATAATTGACGTTTAGAATAAAAAGTAATTTAAATAAAAAAAAAAAAGGACAGTGCTGAGGCTCAAACGCATGATCTTTGGACTGTGAGTCCAGTGCGTTCGTTGCGCGGCTAACGAAATGCTACAATTGAACCTTTAAATTTAAGGTAGATAACGTGCTCGCCTAATTTCAACCCTCACATTCTCGAAAACGGCTGCGTATCTACGGCTAATATTGGAGGCGTAATCTTATATTTTCCTAATCTACCACCACACCAAAGCTCATTAAAAAACTCGATTGGCAGTTGGGGTATTCTCCTTGTCAGTATTGGTCGGACGCGAACTCGAGACATTACACACCTCCAGGTTCATAGTCTACCACCTTGGTTACTGCGTTATTTCTTCAACTGATATTAACAAGGGGAGGACCAGGTGACTCACCTTGGGATTTCGACCCCAATTTTTTTAATTATTCTGGAGATGAAAAAAAAAGATACGTGTCCCGGCGTTTGATTGAATAGGCCTTAGTTTCGGAGGTAATAAATTTGTGAAAATTGGCCATATCCGAAGCGCACCGCGGCGCGCCATACGAGCCTTCCCGGTAACTGTACTTCCAACCAGTGCAGTTGGCTTCGTGAGTTAGGTGTTTGCTTCATAAATTTAAAACCGAAAAACTTAAAAACTTCATCCGAAGTAGCCAAAATTCTGTTGAACAACAAAACCGGCAGCTCTCTTCGCGAGAAGACACAATAAAGATTCATTCTTTAATTCATTCACAATTATCATCGGGAGCTTTTACAGATATGATCAAGTACGCTTGGTTTGCATCGAAATTAATTCCTGAAAGAAATGTGTTTCGAAACGTCAACGAAATATGTTTCCCCCCGGACTTACGGAAAAATAATATGTACATGTGATGCTCCTTCATTTATTCATTGTGCAAACTGTAGAAAATTTATATGCTTTAAATGTTTTTATGATGTCTATCATCCAAGTAATTCCGCATCGTAGTTCCGCAAGTAGTTCCGCATCGAAATAATTTAATTTTGTAATAAATCCGCAATACTTAAATAATTAAATTTTGTAATAAAAATATTCACATTCACATTTTAGATGTTTGTTTATTCTTCTTCTTCTACGATTAATTATTTTAAAAACTAGAAATTTAAAATACTGTTAATATTATTTCCAATTAAATTTTAAATTTAAACAATTTGAAAATTTAGATACGTTGCCTTTATATGTTATCCATTATAAATAACTTATATATTATTATTATTACTTATTTATTATTTCAAATATTATTACTTGAATTAAAATTCCCTTAAAATTAAATTTAAATTAATGTTTAGAATGTGATATTACATTAAATTTTCTATTTAAAAAATTTGCATACTATATCAATGTCATCAAAATAAATAAAAATAAATAAAAACACTCATTAGAAAAAAAAATTATTGCTCACCTCCGTGAGCGAACTTGGATCTTACGAATTATGAAGCAAGCACCTAACTCATGAAGCCAACTGCATTAATTGGAAGTATAGTTACCGGGAAGGCTCATATGGCGCGCCGCGGTGCGTTTCGGATATGGCCAATTTTCACAAATTTATTACTCCGAAACTAAGCCCTATTCAATCAAACGCCGGGACACGTATCTTTTTTTTTCATCTCCAAAATAATTTAAAAAATTTGGATCGAACTCCCAGATGAGTCACCTGGTCCTCCCCTTGTAAGTGTGTTTTATTATTCCCATATGGGGGAGGGGGGAGCCGAACTACTAATTATAATTTTCTTATAACATTATTCAGTACAATCACAAAAATAAACTATTTATAATTCTAATATTTCATATAATAAAAAAGAAGTTAGAGATACATACATAAAATATTTATGTAAAATATGTTTACCTAGGCGTTGACATTACAAAACATTACAATTTAAAAAAACATTTAAAGAAACATTCTAAAAATGTTAAAAATACTGGGATAAGTTCTCTGTTTTCATTAAAAAGGTTTTTTTTAACGTTTTTTAACGTTTAGAAAAATATTTTTATTTTTAATATTTAATAAACGTTCATTTTAATAGTTAGAAAATTTTTAAAATTGTAACGATCTGCGCTAAATCATCACGCGCCGTGCAAAATCGATAGGAAAACGAATAATATTAGGAAAATGCGCAGAAAAAAGAGCTGAGACGACAAGAACGTCCGCGAAAAGCCAAATAAAATGCGTCACCAAAAGGCGACGAAGTCAGACTCGCATGCTCGCTCAACCGAGGATATCGGACGAGTAGAGCTTCCATAGCGACTCCGAGCAATTTTAGCAGATACGCCGCAAGCTCCAGAGATAGCTTGAATCGTGAATAAACGACCAAGCTCACCAACATCGAGGCGACGCAGATACGCATCCTCGAAAACTGCTCATCTCAATATCGTGGATACACGATCGAAATACCTCCGACGACGCAGATATGCGTCCGTGAAACCCGCGCATCTCTACATCGTAAATACACGATTAAGATACATCTGTCGAAGATTCGCCGAACCGTATCCTCGAATCCAATCCATCTGCGAGAGAGCACCGTTAAGTATATCGTAGATCCGCAAATACGAACCGAGTTCTGATACCGTCAAAATACCAGTGATCTCAT